CGTGGTGCTAAGAATGGCGAGACTCACTGACGATGTCGACTACGATGCCGGCGAAGCGTCTGGGAACGTACCACGTCCACGGTCCGATTCCGGAAATGTTCATGCATACAATGGACTCCGGACTAGGTGCGCTCCTCTGAGTTTTCCTACCAATATGACCAAGTTCCTAAAATAAGGTCAGACAACTTCTATTCATTAATGTTGAAAGTCTTCTAGGCTTTCTGTGTCGTGTCGCCAGACGACAAGGTATATCTATGTGCCTAAACAATAATTCATGAGCTAAATTGTTTCATGTATTAGGCGACTTTCTAAGTGAACCATGCAGTTATTTGCTGAAATTAAAGACAAAAACGATCCCACTACTAAGCCTCGTGCCTTTTCATACAATTCACTATTGAAATTAAAATTTGTGCACTCTTAAATTCGTCAAATCACTATTTAATGCTTACCTAAAGTTGCACTTCTCAAAATATACGGCCGTTGATCTTGTTAACAGGCAGGTGGGAAAAGCACAGGATATTCAACCAAATTATGAAATGTCTCATTAAGTGAACAAAATTAGGCTATAAGAAGTAGGTAGGTTTGCAACCGGCCAGACTTCTTGTCTTCGTGTTTTGGTGAATTATCGTTAAGCAGGGTGTCTTGTTCTCATGCTATTCGTCATATGACGGACGAAAGCTCAACAAGGATACATCGAGATTGCAAGGCGGTGCGCCGTAGACCTATTTGCATAAATCTAGTCACAGTTCCAAGGCAATCCCACTTCAGCTTCCGGCGAGACCAATTTACAAATCCCTTTCACTCGCCTCTTCAAGCGTAACTAAAGTTACTCTAAAATCAATCTATTAAATGATTGCTTGAAACCCAGTTTTTCTAAATTTTTTGTTTTTGTTGCATTTCTTTTTCTCACTCATTTCTACTATCTCTGTATTTGCATTATTAATTAGGCCAACTTTCCAATCATCTTATCTTTAAGCTTCGTCACACTGTAAGCTGGTGCGGATTTTTTTTATCTAGCATTTCCCCTAGTCACTAAACGCAAGACCGATCCTTCATCGTCTTCATATATATATATATATGTGTGTGCCTATGTCTATGTCTGTGTGCGTATGCATGTGTATACAATATATCTATATAAACTATCTCTTTACCAAATTTAATAAATTTACTCCAGTCTTCCAGTTACCTGTATCACAAATTATCTTCTCTTCTGCTCTCTAGCGAATTCCGATGGCCGTTCTCTATGGAGTTTTCCTCTACATGGGCATTTCATCACTTCGGGATGTTCAAATGGTACAACGTACCTCTCTCTTCTTCATGCCCATCAAATATCAGCCTGATTACACCTTCTTGCGGTGAGTACCATTCTGCCCTCTGCATGCACATCAATAAAAATTCACATTGACCTAGCTACAGGTTTGGTCATCACACCTACACAGACATCCACCGACAACTCTCGATCAGTCCTTCCACAGTACATATATGCTACTAATCATGTGAATATAAGCTTTGGAGTCGCCTGGCAGCACCAGGCCTGCCTTTAAATTCATTCCATACAGTTACACCTTTAATTAATTAAAATACCAAGCCACCATGCCCTAATTGTCCGTCAAAATGACTTTTAATATTTAAAGGGAAGCTGGCGTGTACAGAATCTTTGAAAAATTTATTTTCATTGTTCTTTTAATTGCGCGAAAAAACTGGGCGGAAGGAAGTCATAAATTGGCGGAGGGACTGGTCTTAGAATTGCGCGCACTTTTATGCCTCCTTGCTAAGCTTTTTTGCTATCATTCCGTGACAAAGTGCATCGAAGCCTAAAATCATTCTTCAACAAAATTCTTAGAATTCTAAACTAGGAATATAGCTAGCTGCATTCCTGCATACTTCTCAGTCTAATTTTGACCTCTTGCTAAGGCATTCAATGATTTATTTGAGATGTCTTTACTTTTTCGTTTAAGGTTATGAGACTGGTACTTGAAGTTACCAACAATAACATGAGTAGCTTTTCGTTTCCATTGAATTGGGCATAGCCTTGCTTTCCAAAAAGCTATTCTAATACAGATTCGACTGCAATTTCGACCTCGTATAGGTCTCCTCAGCACCCTCAGCGGGACGCGAGCCATGACGGTGCAATGAATAGTGTCGACACTTTATCCATTACTCTACAATGTCATGTTCCCTTGGGTAACAGGGCCGATGCGATTTATTTTGTGGTTCATTCTTCTTCTATCTGATTCTATAAATTAGTCATAGGTATGCTTGCTTTCTCACACTCATAATTTTTCTTGCGAATTGGGTGATTTTTAAAATTTCCATTAACTCCCCAATCTTTTTCTTACCTCTGAAGTCTCCATATTTTGCAAAGATTTTGGTTTTTATACCCTCCTATCTTGTATTCTATATTAGCCATATCTTCGGCCAGTTAAAATTTCTAAACCCGTAATCTCTTGTGGATGGATTTTTGCTCAAATAATCTGCTGTATATTTCCTTAGGTCTCCTCCACAGGATGCTACAACATGAGGATCAAACCTTGCGGCAGCCTTATCTGCCGAAATGATCCCTGAATTATAATAGAAAAAGCATAACCGAGAAATATTTTGATCTCTCCTTGTGCATAGTTCTGGACCCAGTGGTTGAGCCTATCTTTTTTCTATGATGGCAAGATCGCAGCACCAGAAACCTAGAAGAAATTTTCAACTTCATTTCTTTTCTGGTAGTATTATGAAATGGCTCTCAATTAATCCTAATCGCTTATTATTCTGAACTAACTTTTCTATATACCTTTCTGATTTTTTTCCGAGTGATTTACGCCTTTTAAGCGCAGACTTCTTATTTTTGTTGTAGAGCATTTACTTTAACCCCATGCATATGATTCGAAAGGAAAGTGTCAAGGATGATCGTGTTTGTGGTATTTTATGTGCGTATACCCACCTAAATTATTTCATTCATTACTAACTAAGATATCCAAGGATGTAATCAACCACTTGTTATATTCCACAAATTCACTCATTCCATTTATTCTGTTAATAAACTTAACAAAGTTACCTAGTCTATCTTTGTCTTGTTGCTAAACTGCAAGATATTCGTAATATACCTAATAACTAAGTTGCGAAATAGTAGACGAATTTCCAACTGGTCCAGATAATTATTAGTTAAAATTGGAGTTATGCACGATACCATTCCTGAACCTCCTGTTTACCCATTAAAACGAATGTACTGTTTCTTTCTAGATTCACCATTGCGCAAAATCGCCAAGTTCCATGACTTGTCCATCTATAAGCTTAAAGAAGTCATGGGAATTCTTGATTAAAGTATATTCTTGGTCGGATAGCTGCAAATTGATTATAAAACTTATTAGAAGAGGTTTGATTTAGCTTTCGTGACCTAGTTCTATTTTCCGTTTGTAAGTAGGCTTTTGAAACTAACAATAGATTATTTAAATGAGATGTACACGGCTATGTATATGGGT